CTCACTGGGGGTGTCCCCATCCCCCCTTGGGGACAGGACAGAGGGGACAGAGAGACCTGGGGGTGTCCCCACCCCCCTTGGGGACAGAACAGAGGGGACAGAGAGACCTGGGGGTGTCCCCATCTCCCTTGGGGACAGAACAGAGGGTCCCAGAGGTGTCCCCACCCCCCTTGGGGACAGGACAGAGAGTCCCAGGGGTGTCCCCACCCCCCTTGGGGACAGGACAGAGAGTCCCAGGGGTGTCCCCACCCCCCTTGGGGACATGGGAGGAGGCAGAGAGGTGACACAGGTGACAGGGAGGTGACAATGGAGGTGACACAGGTGACGGGGGTGCCACAGGTGAGGTGACGGAAGTGACACAGATGACAGAGATGACACAGGTGACAGGTGCCACAGTTGGCAGAGGTGACACAGGACGCACGTGCAGGCGGCAGCTGTTGCGGGGTAGGACAATGGAGGTGACAGAGGTACAACGGGTGACAGAGGTGACAATGGAGGTGACAATGGAGGTAACAGGGAGGTGACCCAGGTGACAGAAAGGACCCACTGCTGACTGCGTAGGACAATGGAGGTGACAGAGGTGACAATGGAGGTGACAGAGGTGACACTGGAGGTGACAGAGGTGACACAGGTGACACAGGTGACAATGGAGGTGACAGAGGTGACAGAGGTGCCACAGCACTCACGTGCAGGCGGCAGCCATCGCTGACGGGGTAGGACAATGGAGGTGACACAGGTAACAGGGAGGTGACACAGGTGACAGTGGAGGTGACAGTGGAGGTGACACAGGTGACACAGGTGACAATGGAGGTGACAGGGAGGTGACACAGGTGACAGAAAGGACTCACGTGCAGGCGGCAGCCATCGCTGACGGGGTAGGACAATGGAGGTGACAGGGAGGTGACAATGGAGGTGACAGGGAGGTGACAGAGGTGACAATGGAGGTGACAGAGGTGACAGAGGTGCCACAGCACTCACGTGCAGGCGGCAGCCATCGCTGACGGGGTAGGACAATGGAGGTGACAATGGAGGTGACAGGGAGGTGACACAGGTGACAGAGGTGACAATGGAGGTGACACAGGTGCCACATCACTCACGTGCAGGCGGCAGCCGTCGCTGACGGGGTAGGAGCCCAGCAGGGCCTCATCGCGGTCCAGCGGCCCCAGGGGCTCATCCTCGGCACCGAACAGCTCCAGGTCCATGCACGAGGCCGGGGAGCCCACCACCA